TACAGGTGAAAGTAGCTTGCTGCACCATGGATATACTAAAACAACTTAGTGCAGAGGAAATCTCTCGAAATCCACAAGGGGGGTCCAAGCAACGAATGACTAATCTTGCAAATCATATCTTGAAACAACGCAGGCAAGTTTTAACAATCTATGGAACATTTTTGCTTGATTCCAAAGGTTAAAATGATTTAGGGCGTGTTCGGTCGTGCTTAAAATCCAATTAAAATTGAAAATGTACCCGTTATTGGTCCACTCGTCTAATAAAAGTCAACAATAACGACTAGTTTTTCAATTTTAATCCGATTTTAATCTCTACCAAATATGCCCTTAAGGGGTTTCTACTTCAATATTGAGTTCTCTTCTATGTTCAATTCTGCACCTCTGGAACAGCTTCTATCCTCTATATCCACCGGCAGAAGAAGTTCCTTTGGATTTTTCTCTTGCACGGGAAGCTCTTCACATTTCATCAGTTCCAGACATACTCATTTTACCTTCAGATTTGGCTCAATTCGTGAAGGTTAAGAATTATTCTGGTTTCAAACATAAGTTCTATGATAAAATATATATATGAGACAACCCTAAAAGTAACAGTTACAAAATTATCATCTTTTTCCTTGTTCGCAGATACTCTCCTTTGAGGGCAAAAGTGAAGAACCAGTAAAGTGCATTTGTGTTAATCCAGGAAAACTAGCTAGAGGTGAAGGAGGAGGCTTCTTTGTAGAGATTAACTACAAAGAAAATTCCGACTTGGCTTGTGCTTCAGTAATCCGGATATAGGCTGTGTTTTATCCAGGGGGATGAATTTTCCCATGACAATAATCTATGTAATTTAAGGATCCAAGATATAGTTATAGAAATTTACTATGATCCAGAAAACAAGTATAAACTGCTAATTTAAGCTTTTAGATGAAGCGGTTGATTTACTTATTCAACCAATTTGTTCTTGAAATATTGGCGAGGGTAAGAGTTGAGATAAAGCCAATTATGTATATTGATATGAACTGCGTTTTGAGTTTTCAGCTGGATAATTCTTTGTTGGGAGCAAACAAGAAATCCCACATCTGTTAGGAGAAGAAAAGAAATCCACCATATAACCCTTCCAAGTGGACTATTCCACCCATTGTCAATTGGTTTTGGGTTGGAACCTCACTTGGGCTTGGTGGTGTGGGCTTGGATCCAGTTAATTTTCTCATTATTTTCCCTACAACTGGGAATTATACAGAGTTCTATAGCTTAAGACAACATTCAATATCCATTTACAGAACATGTTCTCTATCATAAGAAAATGCAGAAACAGATTTTCCCAGAATTCAGATTACAACAGGCTCATCAATAGCAATAACAGAGTTCAACATTCTCCCCAACAGAATATATTTAACACTGTAATCCAACATATGCATAGAACATAAACTGTAGCATACAGAAATCAGAATTCATAAAATTGGACAGAAATCAAAGCTGAAAAATCGGACAATAAAAAAAGGCAGAACTTCAATTCCCTTTGTTGGTTCTTCCTCCTCCATTCATGGCTGAAATGTTAGGCTCAAGAGCATCCTTCCATGCCATGCAAATCACCTTCCAGAGAGAGCTAGAGAATCGGTTCAGAACTTCCTCACTTGGCTTGAATCATCGACCAAACAGTCTACCAACATCAGCCAAGAATCACTGACCTAATCCCCCGAGAAACCCAACCCTCTTAGCCACTATTTCAGGCCTAAGAACACACAGGAGTTTCATCAATTAATGGACTACAGGTTGATTTCATGGACTAAAGGAAGAAAGGGAAGAAGACAGGAACAAGAGAGAGCATACATAGAGGGAGTTGTTTCAAAAAAGCTAAACCCACGTGATATAAGGTTCAAAACCAAGAAAATGTCTCACCAACTTTAATCTCAATCGTTGGCTTAATCAAGGGCTGCAAATGACATAAAAATAAGCACACAATTCGGGTTATAGCATTAGCCCAACAAGTGATATGGGAACCACTTAAGCACCTTAGTTGGATGAACTCAACAATTGGTGAAAAGCATATGGAAGACTCGCCCATATTCACTATATTACACAATAATCTCGACCCAAAACTTGATATTGCATACAAACAAGTGGAGTCGGATGTCCACGTCTCTCGTTGAGAGAAGGAAGTCTAGTCTGGCGGTAACTACACGGGGTTTGTTAAAGCGAGTCTCTCACATCACCATAACCCCATCAATTGTGAATACCTGCAAGAACAACAAAAATTTAGAGAAAAAAAAGAAAATTCCAAGCAAGAGAGAATAATGGTTTAAAGACCTATTCAGAAACTTCTTCTGGTTGGCCGTATCTTCCTGAATTAAAATTAGAATATAGTCGTCATTCTCACCAGATTTACAAAATCCGAAACAGCATTCTAGTACAAGCTGCAGTTTAGTATATTTGTCTTGCTGAATGAGACGAACAACTCTTAAAAACTGATATTGATGTTCCTACTTGCATATTCCTTGGCAAACGTCTTCGTAAAGCCAATTACCCCTGCTTTTGAGGCACTATAGTTCTTGGACAGTGACCTTCTAGTAATACATAATGAATGTGTTTGGTACATACCATAACGAACGAGATTGCATGTTTGGCTATTAAGATATAAATATGATAATGTGTAAATGTTATTAACAATATATTTATCCTACTTTATTGCATGTTTGGCTAAAGTTTATTTTGAAATAAATTCACTAGCTAATAAGTAATAAGTGTAAAAAAAAAAGTAATACAATAATTTTTTATCTTTGAAAGTTAGAAATAAAGTTAGACATCTTATAAAAAATGACATTTTACTTGAAAATGCCTCTGTTTGGGATTTATATTATCTCCTTAAATTTTACTTTTCAAAGTCAAACATTAATTTTAATAAATATTTTAAATACTACCAACTTATCAATCATTTGTTTTTTTGAAAAGTAAAAATTTTAGCATCAAAAAAAGAAATCCAAACAAAACAATTGTATTTTTCTTGTGTCATCTTTTCACCTTTTTACTCTTTTGAGATGCATCAATTATTTTTATCATAGCTCTTTTTAATTTTTGACCTCAATTATTTTATTCTAATATGAATTCTTGATGAGTAGCAATGGTTAATATTTCCATTATTGAGCAAAGTTCAATTCATCACTACCAATTATAATGACATGATTTCCAACTATGTGATTAAATGAAATTGATGTAAAGATTTTAGAATTCAATATTAACAATTTGTTGTCATGTGTTATTATTTTGATTTCGAAAGTCATCATAAAATCTGCAATTTTTAAAAATATTTGAAGGAAGCGATGTTTTCTAGAGTACATGTATCTCTGTTTGGTCCACATTATTTTTTTCATTTTCATTCTTCTACTCATTTTCAACCACACATTCTTCAATAAAATAATATTTTTCATCACATCAATAACTTTTATTTATTTTTCAACCACATGTTCCCCATCACACTAACAGTAAAAATACATTTTTACCTTCAAAATGTGCCAAAATGTGCACCAAACGGAGGCTAAAAGAAATTTAAGCTTTGAAGGTCTAGTCTAGAAAAAACCCGGATTTTGTTGGGTTAGCTTTTTGGTAGGAAAGGCGGTCACAGGAAGAAATGCCCTACCAATGAATAGATTAGTCTACTAACGTCAACAATCTCTGGCAGAAAGATTTATGTCCATCCCTAACTTCCTTTCAATCCACATCGGCAAATTTAGGCTCTCTACTGGGAGTCATCAAAGGAGGAATGGGCACTCGGCCAGGAGTACAGCGTTGTTGATAGACGAGGAGTTTTGGGCTGTCCGTTGNACAAGGCCCCTATTCTAATCTAATTTTGAATCATATTTCTTTGTGCTTTTAGAAAAATGTAGCATTTTAAGTCACTTTAGAATACAACCAAACATCTTCACATAGAGAGCAATTTTTTTTCCGAAAGAATTACTTATAAAAATTCGAATTTTCCATTAATTTAACAAGTTTTTTGACCTGTTTGGAATAACGAGCTTATTTGGGAGAGATTTTTTCAAAAATTATTTTTTTGAAATTATTTTTAATTGCACATTCTATGTGTTACATAATTCTTCCAGACTATTTGAGCTCACATAAGTAAATTTTTCAAGCTTAGCCAAGGAGGCTCCTAATTTACATTTTTAAAATTTTTTATTCTATGTTTATTTTTGTATCATTAATTGTGTATCATTTTCAAGAGATAAAATTAAATAAAATTTATAGTAGCTGATCTGATGCTGGGCAGCTGGTGGTGCTACTGACTGTTTGCACATTTCGCTTTCTCTCTTCACAATCCACCCATCACGTGACCCATTATTACAACCCTTCAGCTTTTTTCATTTTCTTTCCCATTTTTCCTTCTTGATCTTCATTTTTCCCTGATCTGCTTAAGATTTCAACCTGTATGTACAGCTTTTTTTGCGTAGAAGTCGTTTAAATGGTGAGCTACGGAACATTTTGCGAGGTGGGTCGAGGCTTTTTGGTTAATTGTGGAGGGATTATTCTGCAAGTGTAATTGACCTGTTTTATCTCTTTGGTGAAGGTTAATTTGGAATGTAATTAGGGTTTTGCTTTGGTTTGAGTGATAGCAGGTAGGAATTTTGAGATTGTAGTACGTGAATTATGTTTTTTGTTGCTTCACATTTACTGGGTTTTTATTTGGAGACTGGATTTTGAGTAAATTGGGCATTTAAAGCGTGGTTTGATTTGTCTTTTGAGAACTTGAAGTGGAACTGGATAAATTTGAACCTGCCCTCTACTTTGGCATGCTTGCAGGTGTATCAAATGATGACTTTTTACTTGTGTACAGTGCAAATGTGAGGTGGTTGTTTGTTTTCTGGAGCAGTAGGATATAGGATCGGGTTCATTTTCGTGGAATTTCGTGGAGAGTTTAGCAGTATTGCGACTTTCTTGTGATCTTCATGATGTGCGGTGTGAAGTTTGCATTTTTGGAGGATTTTGACTGAGATTTTATCGTGAGTTAAACCACGGGTTTGGAGATGCCTCCATCACCAGCATTGAGAATATCTCCTAGGAGGGAGCTGAGGGTAGAGAATCACAAGAGAGGACGTAGTCTTGAGAGTGGGATTCTCTATCGGGAGAAGGATGATGATCTCGCGCTGTTTAATGAGGTTCAGGACAAAGAAAGAGAGAATTTCTTGCTTCAGTCAAATGACTTTGATGACATCTGTAATTTCTCACACTATAATCTGCTTTTATATTTGGTTTATAAAATTTGCATTTACTGAAGCATGCATGACATATATCTTCAGATTTCTCGATTTAGTATTGTTGACAATTGTTGCTTTTTATCATTTATGGCATTTCATAGCTACAAAATTAAGGGACTTTTCGGATTATAAGCTCGGAATCTCCATTCCAACTCGGAGAGAGAGTAGTGACCTGCTCAATGCAGAAGGAGATAAAAATGATTATGATTGGTTAGTTGCTTTTCCCTTTTTTTTTTTTTAAATCGTTTTCAGTTTGAAAATAGTATGTAATTTGGAACTGCGATTATTTTTGGAAGCTTCAAAAGAAACAAATAAAAAGATACCTTAGAGTTTTAGACATCCTTTTTGAAAATTGTTGGGCTTTTCATACAAGTTCATCTATGCCATTATGTTTGACTAATTATTCCATGCATAAAGAAATAAATTTTTGATTCTAAAAGGGGTCTCTCATGGTGACATTAAATAGTATATTGCTGTTATACTATATAATGGCCTTCTTACATTTTACTTGTTTCTTGCTGGTATGTAATGCATTATTAAAGGTTAATAACTCCTCCCGACACTCCGCTTTTCCCTTCTCTGGATGATGAGACACCACCAATTAATCTTGCACGGAGAGGCAGGCCAAGGAGCCTACCTCTTTCAATCTCAAGATCATCCACGGTAAGATTGTGAGAATACAATAATTCTAATCGTTATTTCTTTTTGTTCAAACACACTTTTGAAAATTTGTTCAAATTCAGATGGAGAAGAGTTACAGAAATAGCAGAAGTAGTGCAAGTCCCCATCGCCTTAGCCCATCTCCACAGTCTGATAATAATATTTTGCAATCAAGGGGCAGGCCATCATCAGCACCACATGCAAGTCCACCTCCTACTTTGAGGCATCCTACTTCATCAAGGAGGCCATCTCCCCCACCAAGTAAACCATCAACTCCTGCTCCGAGGTCTAGTACCCCATCTCCTAGGAGAATGAGCACTGGTTCTGCTGCCCCATCTAGGGTGAGAGGCACCTCACCCGTCAAGACAAGCAAAGCATACTCTGCATCACCTAAAATAAGCGCATGGCAATCTAACATTCCTGACTTTTCTTTGGAGGCACCTCCTAATCTTCGTACCTCATTGGCTGATAGACCTGCATCATATGTCAGAGGATCCTCACCAGCATCCAGAATGAGCCACAGATCTGGCAGACAATCAATGTCTCCGACTGCTTCTAGAAGTGTCAGTTCATCACACAGTCGTGACCGAGATCCATTTAGTTCCCACAGCAAAGGTTCAGTTGCATCATCTGGTGACGATGATCTAGACTCCCCACAATCCATTTCCATGAGCAGCTTAGACCGCTCAACTCCAAAGAGCATAGGTGCTTTCCCGAATAACAGAGCACTGGGTTTTTCTAAGAAACCATCTAGAATTTTGTCCTCGAGCTCGGCTCCAAAGAGATCCTTTGACTTGGCACTTCAGCAAATGGTATCTAATTTTCTTGTTTCAGTAATAATGATGAGTTTCCTGATAGCTATAATTTATTGTCTTGTCACCCTAGTTGTCTATTGATCACTTCCTCTTGGTTAGTTTTCCAATTGCGGCTAGTTGTTAATTGATCTACCACCTAAGAATTTGGCAATTTTGTGGATTGTAATTGAGTTGGGTGTGGGTGTGCATGTCCATGTCTAGGCTTTCAGTTGTGTGGTCATGCACTCATGTATGCATATTCCGCTAATATGCATGGCAAACGAGGAAATGACAGAAATGAAACACTCTGGTCTATGAGCCTATCCTTGTACATTAATAATTTGGCCATTATTTACTTCATCAAATTTGCATGACTTCAGGGATAGTTTGTATAAATATAAGTAAAATGTACGTGTATATGTTTATCTATGTATTATATCTATGTAAATACACATTACCTTTTGTTTTACTTGCTCTCCAATTTTACTTCTAGTATAACTGGATCAGACTTTTATTAATTATGGGTAAATGATATATATTTTCTTTTTTGGGCTACTAAGAAACATCATTTGCATGATTTCAGTGTAATGGAGATGTTACAGTAAGAAGAATGTGTGTTCAATATAAAGAGGCAGAATAAGAAATGAGGATAAATGAGAGTTGTGTAAGGTTAGTCATTGAGGATGAATTGTGTGAGAACAGACTGAGATGGTTTTGGACAGATTCCACAAAGGCTGCTACATGTACTGGTAAGGAAAAGCGAGAAAACTAGTGTTAGAAGTTAGGGAAGAGGTTGACCTAAAATTACATGGATAAGGTAACCAAAAAGGACATGAATCATTTTTGGTTTAAATTTGGAGATGGTTTTTGATAGAGCAAAGTTGAAGAAGAGACACAATGTATTGGGCCCAACATGAGTATGGGATAAAGTTAGTTGAGTTGAGTTAGAATTTATTACTTGTAAAAGCTTGATCACTTTCTAAACTTAGTAATGCAATCAGTCGATCTTACTGGTTTTTCATCTATTTAAGTAATTTGGTTCATTAATGAACTGAACTAATGTGGGAAGCATTGTGGTGTCGCGGTTTGTTGGGTTTCTGGAACTGTTTTGTACTATCTTGTCAATCCTTTCTACTTTTGAATTTAACAATACATTAAAGAGTGCATATTGAATAAAACCTACTATGCTTCTAGGTTGAAGATTCACACCCTTTTAACTTCTTTAAATGTCTATGTTCTTGGATACTTATTCTTTCTAGCAGGTTCTGAGGATTGATTGTTTGTACACTTGATCGAACATTGGCATTTGTTTCCAAAGAAAACTATTTTGCTCGTGTCTCCATCACTATTATGGTATCATATTTTTTCTCAAATTCCTTTATGTGCTTTCTGATATGTCTAAACAAAAAGGTATAAGTGCAACTAATAGTGGTTATGCATGTTTGACAAATTATGTGGAACTAAAATTCTTGTTGGCCACAGGTTATGGTCTAGTTCAAACCTTATTGCAAAAGATAAGAGAAAAGTAACGAAGACTTGTAAGATTTATGATTTTAACTGCAAAAAGAATTATATTGAGATTTTACGAATACTGCATCTTGACATTATGACTGCAACAATTCACTTAGATTGGAATTGGATGAGCTCCACCTTCCACATCATTTTTTAATTGAAAACCTGTAATCTTCAATTATAATGTTCTCGGCTAGTTAAGTTACCATTTGAAGGCATTTGAGGAAAAAATATTATTATAGCAGATTAAATGCCAGTGTATTTGTGATGTACTCCTGACACGTGAGACCTGATGTGACAGTGGCTGGTTCTTTGAGAGCATGACTTATGACCACACTTTTTATCAGTGGTTTTTGGCAGAACTATTTATATTGACATTTTCTTTCCTTTCTTGCACAGGATCGTCGAAAAGGTCCTCAGAATATGTTTAGGCCTCTATTGTCCAGTGTCCCCAGTACAACATTCTATGCTGGCAAAGCAAGTACAGCTCATCATTCGGTGACTTCCAGAACTTCTTCAATTACAACTAGCAATAATACCAGTTCTGATCAGGTAACAGCAGGTGTACATGATACCAAAGGAAGTGAACAAAACCCGCAGGACGTGATGAGTGAATGTGTAGATGGACAATATTCTGAAGCGCTAGACAAAATATTTGAATTGGATCATTCTGATGCTTTAAATGAAGATGTTGAGTATAACACCCTTGAGAAATCACGTAGCAATCAGGATGATAAATTTGACGGCCACTCTGTAGTAGTTGCCACTGGAAGTTGCGGCCAAAATGACACTGCTACAGGTATCACTGCAACTTCTGCAGTTCCGGAGACGAGAGGTGATCTTTCAGACACTGACAGCCTTGAAGATCCTATGGTTTGCTCTAAGTGCGGTTGCACATTCCATTCTGCTGAATTAGTAATGGAGGGGGACCTGCAACTTTGTATGGCTTGCAGAAATTTGGAAGTAACCTCAACTATAACTACTACACCGGTATCAATGACAATTAGAGAGAATACTTCAGGAGATTTTGTGCAGATTCTAGAACATGGGCCACCTGAAGCTGACTGCTCCACTGCAAAATCAAAATCTTGGCAAGTAACTAGTACTGGTAAAGCAGGGACCAAACAACTCAATCGTTCATATAGTGAGCCAAACCAGAATTTCACCCCTGCAAGCTCTCTTTCACCACTAATGGTGGATAAAGGTGAGCTAACTATCACCAACCGACGAGTGAACTATCAATCTATTGATGACAACTTTGGTCATCTGCATGTTGGTGGCTATTCAAGTTCAAAGGTTGATGTTTCAGAAGGTGCAGGTACATCTCTGCTACTGAAGGGATCTAGTAGAAGCCAAGGACATGTTCAAAGTAGGAGTTTCACAACAAGTAACATCAGTTATGACGATTTCTCCTGTGTCGGGGACAGTGTAAACAGCATGAGAAGCTCCATTGGGCATGGCAGTGTGTCAATGACATCTTCTGTTGACTTAGGGCCTTTGAGGCAAATAGAGACCCGTGTGCAACGGCAAGTAAATGACAGGAAATCTGATCTAGAAAATTACAGGTTTGAGATTCTAACAAAGCACAAGCGCACTCTCTCGTCGTTGTCTGGTGCTTCAAGTCATGGTTTTCAGGTCCTAAGTGTGGCAACAAGCTCTCATGATGATAGTTTTGAAATAATTGCTTCCAATGACGAAAAAGATGCCAGGGAGGCTGCATGCACACATCTTCGAGAACAATCATTGACTTCAGAATGTACAGAAGCAGGCAATACATGCACCGACATTGAAAGTAATAACAATTTTAGAACTGCCTCAGAAATGTCAGGCAATGTGATGAACATTCACATAGCAGATACTTCAGTGGTGTCAGTTTTGAGTTTTGAAGAACCAGCATCACACGAGAATGGTGAGTGCTTGACAAACCATTCAAGTAACTCCATGACTATAAAAGCATCATCAACACTTCCCCAGAATTGTACACTAGGGGAAGATGCCACACCAAATTCATGTGACTGGGTGGTTGTTGCAGAGGTGCCTAATCTGAGCTCTTTGGATTCTATATCCGAAATGGAAATCGAAAATGGCGATATCTTTTCTTCTGATTCACAATCAGACATTGATTCCGTCAATTCAAAGAGTGGCATGAATGATTCAATGCAGCCTTCTGTATCAAAAGAACCCAATGATGATACGATAACATCTGTTGAAGAACCTGACACCTCAGATCCTGGACAGAGCACCCTCAGTACGTATATCTTGCGTTTATGAAAGCTATTTAATGCTTATACTTTCCGCTTCCCACTTCTCTACTCCTAAGAATCGTACTCTCTAACCAGATACATACAAATACTACTCTCTACGTCCCATTTATATAGGTTGGTTATGTTTTTTACACGGATTAAGAAATTTTATTTAATGTTATTGAAAAAACAATTTTTGTCAAAAACATTCCTAATTTACCCTTATTTAATTATCAACAACTAGTAGTAATTATTGTTGGAAGTAGTAAAGAAATTGAATGATTGCAAGAAGTGGGAAATGTGTGCATGTATTTTGATGATTTCAAGAAGTAGGTATCTTTATATTTGTACAATTTCAAGATTAAGTGGGGCAAATTAAATAAGATATTAGTAAACGAACAAAACAAAATATTCTTGATAAAGAAACAGAACTATATAATTTAGACAAGAAAATAAGGAAAATCAACTTATATAAATGGGACTGGGGGAGTACTTGTTTTGAGCTTGTAACTGATTCCGGTTTATTTATCATGTGCCATTAGATCCTTTGTACAATTCATTTTGTAATGGCTAAGGTTAACCTGGCTTCTACCATTTTTGATCAGTGATTTTATCTGTTCACAGTAAATGCTTTTATAGTTCCAGCAATGGAATTACCTAATGCAGCAATGCCTTCCCAACCGTATGAAGTTAGCCTTTTAGATACCAGATGGTTCCATTTCATGTTGTCTTCTCAATAACTTTCTCAAAAAAATCTCTGAAAATTTGGTCCAATATCTGACTCTCATGGTGTTCCACGTTTTCTATATGTATTTGCATGGCATGCTGGCCTTTGGTGTATATTTGGTTGGAGTAGAAATTAGAGAGAAGTAGAAAGGAAGTGAAGTGTACTCATAATGTTGTTTGGTCGAGGCGGATAAAAGTTAACTTATTTCAGTTAAAATATATAGACTAGAAAAGAAGGTTATCTTAGTAAATTACAACCCCGTACCTAATTCAAATCAGTTTACAGGCAAGAACCCACTTATGCATCCCTTCATGAACCAAAAATAGTGTTAGCTAAAATCTTTGCAAACTTTTTTTCTGGAATACGTTTAAACCTGAACATATTATTAATCTTTTTTAAAGAATGGCTACATTTTGTTTTGTTAATTCCTTTGATGTTAACTTTTGCACTCTCTCTATCTATGTATGATACACGCACAAGTGTGAACTCAATACGTGTATAAGCACACAAAAAATCTCACATGGTCAAGAATGAGAAAAATTAATTCTCTTTCCATCCTGCTGTCTGCTGATGTTCATGGAGTAAGTGATTTTCCTCAAAAAGGAATATTGAAAAGCTTTTTTTTGGCTATGATTTAATGAATCCTCAATTTTCTTTATTTTTTGGCGAATATATCTTCACATACATACCTTTTTCTTTCCCTCTATTTTTTTCTTTTTTATATTTCAATTTGCAAATATATATATATATATATATATTTACGAAAACTACAGTTGTCGACACTTGGTTGTCTTCTTAATAATGGAACTTTTATATAGTTGGTCCATTCTCAGTCTCAATAAAGTTATGTGAGCATGTTTGATAAGTGTTTATAAACAGTCTAAATCATAAATAAATAAAATGAATGATGCATGAGAATTACATGTGGGTCTCTCGAAATACGGGTTTTTATAAACAGATTATAAACAAGAGCCAAAGATAGGCTTAATGAATATTTTCAGTTTATTTTTCTTCTCATTATCTTACTCGGTGGATGACTTTCTTTTTACATTATTCGTCTTTGCTCCTGCTGAAACTTCTTTATCTGGCAGAAGAATCAACTGTTGTACCAAAGGACCAGGGACTACTCAAAACTAGAAGCCTAACTCTGGAAGAAGCAACAGATGCGATACTCTTCTGCAGTTCTATTGTTCACAATCTGGCATATGAGGCTGCAAATATATCGATAGAGAAAGAGAACTCAACCATGGAAGGCTTGCGACCTACAGTAATGTTGGTTGGAAAATCCAATCCCGATAGAACAGATGTGCGCACAAGAACCATGGGAAAACGTACTCCTAAGTCCCAAAAAGGTCGACAAAAGAAGCTGGAAACAGATACAAAACTGCCTCACACTAATGCTGAAAAAGAAGAAAAAACAGATGTATCTACTACACGTGTTGTTGGGGCTCCTAAGAACGCTGACAGCGTAAAGCCTCTGAAGCTGGAGTCGAAGTGCAATTGCACTATCATGTAAGCATTCCGTTGCTCGTGGTGGGAACATTCTCGTCTTTATTACTTGAAGGCTGTTTGGATAAGTGCCAATCGCGTTTTGTTGGTTCCAATTGTTTTGTACCACTGTTAATTACGTAATTATTGTATAGTTCTAATTCTTATTAGGCTGATAAAGGCCATTGGAGGTTTACGGACCTTTCCACTTGCCATTCTTAACAGAATTGGTGTTTGTTCCTATTCTTGATTAGAGAGTAAGTGAAATTTTTTTGTTCTTGTTCGAGGAATTATGTTTAGCTATGTGCAGCGTGTATTTTGTAAATTTCCTTCTTTTCTTGATATTAAATAACATATTCATTGCTCGAGAGAGACACGGTTCGCAAATAAATGGTACCGGAGAATGTAGGTATGCGGAAAATACATGTTTAGTAAAGCAAAAAAGCTACCATCGGGCATAGCTCAGTGGTGTAAATGACAGGAGTGAGGTAGTCTCAGCTAAGCTGGCAGCTGCAGTGTGAGGGTTCGATTCTTACCTCTTACAAGGTTTGGAATTTGATTCTTTGTGGACACTAGTATGACAGCTCTTGTACTTTGGCCTGCTGAGGTACATCCCGCGATTTACCTCCTCCACGATACTCTAGGGGCAGGACGGGACTCCTCAAAGTTGGAGTTCAACTTTTTTTTTAAGTAAAGCAAAAAAGCTCGCATTGAAAAGTGAAGTTTTGGCTTGCTGAATGAAACTCAGTCAAAATTTTGATTTGAAATTCGATAGAGAAGTTAATTTTAATGAATGCTCATGTTTAGTATTTAAATTGATGTTCTTGTTACTTTATTCTCCAGAAGTTGAAGTCCACCATCTTTTCGTCTAACCAAGCTAGATTTTAGATGGATAGACTGTATTTCCCGTTTAGCAAAAGGCAGTGATTGGTGGTGATTTCAATTAATGAAAGCAGAATTACAAATATTTTTTGTGATTAATGAATTAATTCTTTGAATTAGATATAAAATGATGAAATAAAATAGCATACAGACCGTTTGTTTGTTCACACTTGAGCACAAAAATATGGCAACCTCGGACCTGTTTCCCTAACATTCACTCAACTTATTTTATTTTTTCCGTATAAAATTCTTCAGGAATTGTGGCTTGAGAGGAGAGAGTCAAAACTGAATTAAAGGAAAATTAGTAATCCAAAATGGTGATGGATGAAATGGGTGGATCAACAGTTGGGTTGATCCAAGAAGCAATGCCAAGGTCAACGGAAACGGAAACACCCGCCTCGTATATCCCGACCTCGGTGTTGGCGAATTATCCATCAATGTCTGCCCTCCTCGCCTTTGTTCTTGCCCAATCGTTTAAACTCATCACCTCCTGGTACACTTCGATTCATTGTGTGTGTATATATGTGTATCTATCTATTCAAGTGTGGATGAATTTTGGTTTGATTTGAGGAAATCTTGGACATGGGATCGATGACTTCAATGTTGTTCTTTTTGTGAAAATTATGTATACTGTGCTTAATCTTTTATATTTGGTTGCATGCTTATGTTAGAATCAGATCTTTGTTAGAACCCCATTAGGCAGAGACTGGCTTGCAAGGGGCGGGATAGTGTTCGGCCCAGCCCCACCTTTTAGAATCGACGTTGACACAGCTCCATATTCCCTGCTAGATCACTTCACGGAACTAGTTTTGTGCTGAAAGTTAACATTCCCAGGTCCTCCGGTCAATAATGAGGGTGCCTGTTCATATCTAGAACATATCATGTACACAATTAGATACTGTGGACTTTTATGTTATATATTCAATTTCTGTATTTTTCGTATACATAAGAGGTGTGTGTATTACTATGAGGAAATCACTTCCCCGAATTCTAACAACACATCGTTGATGATTCTATTTTGTTTCGTTTAGCTAGTCGTAGGTTCTGGATGACCCTTACTGAATGATAAAAATGACGATGATGCTGAAATCAAGAATACTAAGGCCCTCTTTGACAGTCTTTTCAAAAGTCAAAAATTGTTTTTGAGATTAGAAGCTGCTCTTAGGCCTGTTTGGATAATTCTGAAAATGTTTTATTTGGTTAGAAGAGTTTTCTTTTACAAGAAGCCCTACAAATGGGCCCTAAATGAGTGCGATTTTTCCTATTTGAGGTTGAAGGAAGGGGAATTAATCAGTTTGACTAAATATAATTCAATATATTCATATTCAGAAACAAATCAATTAAAACCTAAGATCTAAGAGAACTTGTCAACAATTCATGGAAAACTGATGCCTTTTTAGTTGGAGCTCGAACTAGTGCACAAGATAGGCGACAATGTACAGAAACTGTGATTAAATATTATTAAGAAATATTCTGTGCCCCCTCTCACGGAGGATAATAAAGGATTTAATTCGGGATTCTACTTAGAAAGTTAATGACCTACATAAGGCAATGTCTAGCTTATTGCCTTATCTCGAAACCTTGAGAGTTGATAAAAGAATTTTTATTTATTTTTGGTCCTCTCGAAGTTCTGTTGTATACACAGATAAATGCTGTACTAACACGCATCAAACCCCAATGCCCCAGAAGAACGATATATAACGAGGTTATGTTAGTTATTTTTGAAAGTCTTCAGGCTATAGTAATCTTGCAGGTATAAGGACAGATGTTGGGATCTGAAGCAACTCGTTGCATCTGGTGGTATGCCATCGTCCCATTCAGCAACAGTAATAGCTCTTGCAGTAGCTGTTGGCTTGCAAGAGGGCTTTGGAGATCCGCTATTTGCAACTGCATTGATCTTAGCATGTGTGGTATGATCTCTTGATTTATGTTATATTCTTTCCCTCTTATTCTTGGAGTAAATCATTATTTACTCGTTATGTATGGTTCAAGACTTGGTTAACTGCTTGATGCTCTGTGAATTGGTGATTTTCTTTTCAGTTTGGAAATTTGTCAAATGATGCTAAGATGAATGCGTGATTAGTGGGTTGACATCTATTATCCTTGAATGTTCAAATTACATCTTAAAGTTCTCTTCCTAATATACTGGGTAATGGGGATAATATCATACTTGAGCGGCGAAGTACCTAAATTCTTTTAGTTGATCCTGATTTTACTGAGCTGATGAATTGAAAGCATGTTTGGGACTTGTTTATAAATTGTTTAAATCATAAATGGATAAAAATGAGTGGTAGATAAATGGGTAGTAGTTATGAATCCTACGAAATATGTGGATGGAAGTGGTTTGGCCGATTATAGACAATTTATATATGGTAGACAAACAAGGGCTAAGTGTTGAATTCCTAATAGAAACAAACTGTGAAGAGTCGCGAGCCTTTAAAGAAAATAGAAGGCTTTCGTCCCAAAAAATATTTTACTCCTCTTGTTCCATTGGTAAAAGGTTAATTGGATAAAAAACTTAAACTTTTGTGTTTCAACAAGCACTTAGATGGAGTGTTGAATTGTACAATCAGCCAGTAGAATGGGATAATATGGAAATAATATTCATAAATAAAATTATTTCTAAAGAAAAGTGCTAGCATTTCCTGAAGAAACACATACTTGTACATTTAACTTGTACGGTGCTGTCGCCTTTAATCATGGATACTTATTGGTCACTGGGTTTGGTTGTCACTTGTCATCAATCTGTCCGATATCGAATTTTTGGTTATTAATTTTAGTCAACATTGTTTACGGCAGTTTTCTTAGACGAGCATTGTTTGGCAGGTGATGTATGATGCAACTGGTGTAAGACTACAGGCTGGACGTCAAGCAGAGGTACGTGGTTCTTACTGCTGTGGGTTTGTACTCGTGCAAATAGATTGAAGTGGATATTGACAGATTTACCCATAATTGTGTTAAGCTATAAATAAATGAGTTTCGTGCTGTTCGTTTTGAGTAACATCTAATGAACTGGAATAATTTTTTCAGGTTTTAAATCAAATTGTACGTGAACTTCCATCTGAGCATCCTCTTGCTGAAAGCAGACCACTCCGCGAACTTCTTGGTCACACTTCGCCCCAGGTTCAATTCTATGGTGTAAATGAGAATTTTGATGGTTATAAGTAATGTTTTAAGGGACGATGTTGGTCTCAGTTTTCAAGAACTGAAACGCCAAGTTCTTGGATCTTTGTCAAGGATGTTAAACCATTTTACACCTCTCATTTCTTTTATCTGGTCCTATTCCTGTGCCAGATTTGAACATTTCCATGAACGGTTTTTCGTTTTCTTTCGAGAAGCTTCATAAATTCATTTTCCACTTTGTTTGATTCATTCACTATTAGATCTACTAGAAGATCTAAAAGAACTATATGTTTAACAACTAAAACAGGCCGTGTTAGTTTTGGTTGCCCCCTCCCTCTTCTTCTGACTTGTTTTATTGGTATCATGTCCCCCGTATACACGAGAGCTTCACAAGTTCTAAGCAAAACATCATGATTATTTCTGAAATTTGCTTTCTACTTTAGGTGGTTGCTGGTGCGCTACTGGGAGTTAGTTTAGCTACAATTATGTATTTGGTCACTAGATCATGGAGTCCTCCTTAATCTTGAGGGGTTGCTCAATTGGTCAGGCCTTGAGTTTGCTTCCCAATGGTCATCAGTTCGAATCCCCTCAGGGCTACTGAGATGAGTACCCAACCGTAAACTTCAGGGTCCCGTGGAATTAGTCGAGGTGCGCACAAACTGGTCCGGACATCCACGGTTATCAAAAAAAAAGATCATGGAGTCCTCCTTGATGCTTCAATGGGTCATTCTGAACAGCAATTTGGAACTGATAGATCTCTACAGTTATTCAGATTTATCCCTGTTTTGGCTCCAAAATATAGTGCAGTTTCTGATACAAGTCACATATTCTTGTAGTGGTGTACCTTCTTCCTGTATGAATGAATATGAAGTTTAAACTAGCTTCAAGCTGCATTATTGATTCAGCGTTTTGATGTTTCACAAATCAGTTGCAGTTGAAGAAAAGTCACAGTAATCTTGCACTTGCCTTGCAATGCCTAATCATTGATATGTTTAGCACAAAGTATTGTAACTTATTTTGTTTCCCTTAATTCTGCTAAGTATTAACCTCTTACCTTATCAAACATGTCACGCAACATTACTGTATTGCGCATCGAATCTATACTGTCTACAGCTGAAAAATAAAAAATAAAAAAATCTCATATATAAAATGAGAAGGCATCAATAGGAAATTTTCTGTGCAACATCGAAAGAGAGGAAAAATAGATTAATAAAAATGAATATGTAAAAACTTATTGTAATGGTAGTCAAAACGCCTATAAATCTAGTAACTCGGTACAATGTATCTACAAGTGCAAATACATATTTTGAACTAATCATGCTCGACTACAATCCAAGTACAACATGAAAAACCTTTTTGAGCTCATAAATAGGATCATTCATGGTTCCCGATTTTTCACGCCAAGCAATGTGCTCATCGGGTCTCACTAAAATGGCTCCTCTATCTGTCATTCTACAGAGATCCCACCACGATGGTGAAGATGGAGACCTTTTGACTTCAACAGCATCCACAAAATTCTTCCAAGGTGACAGTGCTTTTTCACTTCTGCTAATTCCGTCAATAGTTGGCCATATCACAGCTACCTTTAGAGGAACTTTAAGCTCCTCAGCCACTTTAAAGGCAGCTCGAGCTAGATTGTAGGACTCTTCAATTGGTGCGATAATCAGAAGAAATTGAACGTTTTCACCAGATACAAGGTCAAGTGTGGAAAAAGTCTCCTGTAAAAGATGATATCAAGTAAGAAATGCAAACTAGAAGGAGACAGAAACGGGGAGGGGGGGAGGGGGGTGATCCTAAATGGTCATAGAGTGGCATTTGGGATAATTTCTCACCTACTGATACAGCAAAGTTTACATTTTCTCATGGTCTAACTACTAAGAGTACACTAAATGGACCACCAGAAAAGCATGGTCTGGCAACAATCCCGACTTCCCCAAGCAACCGAAAAGGGGAAAATATACTACCAAGCACAAACTCGTAGGGTCCAGGGGTCAAGTTACACATACCCTTCTTGTCAGTTCTGATAGCAGCTGAATTTTCATATGAGGCAGTCTTGATCCGGGGTCCGTGGATGGAATGTAGTCCCTCCTCTGTCCAGTAGGTGTTTCTGATGCACTTGACAAACTATTGCCATCAGACACGAGTGCTCCTTCACGATACCTAACACGAAAGCCTTCCAAGTCATCATGAAATTACCAGATAAACCTTCAGTGGATAATAACTGAAGGTAATTAGAAACACGAAGATGATATAAGATACATTTTCTAGGTTTCCAAGAAAATCCTAAAAAAATTTAGCACTGACTGAAGCTAAATGAATGAGAGAATCAGTTTTCACAGGAACATGGAGAAGTGCATGTACTTTAAAAGTAATTAAAACAGGACAAGCATATTGTTGGTGAATGACATAATACCGCTACCTGAAACCTAGATCCTCAGCAGGGAATTGGAGTTGAAGGCTCTTTCCTTCTTCAAATATCTGTCTCAGTTTGGCAAGCCTTCTAGATCCAAGAGGATTATTCTCATTTAAAAGAGAATCTGAGAGTTGTGCACGGCCTATTCTAAAAATACCATCCAAAAATGCCCTTTGTAGTTCAGACGGCAAAATTGAACCAACAGTGTTGTTTATAGTTTTATGGACTGCCAATTAATATATCACAATTTAGGTTCACTAGTGAATCCAAATACAAGAAAAAGATTCAAATCTTTAAGCTCATCAATGTACCTGCATTTGCAATGGCTGGATCAAGACCAAGAGCAGCAGGCACTGCCATTGCTGCTTTAAAGTTTTGGAGACTGAGTGCTGTATTAAATCTGGCAATCTGACAAGTTACAGGAATTCGCACAAATATTTACTACACTTTCACTTCTCATAAATACTTGTTACACTTTCAAACTATTAATATTGAGGTGAGAATTGAGATGAGTAATTATATTAAACAAAGTGATACCTGCTTACGCTCCATTTCGTAAGTGGAAAGAATTGATGGAGGTGCGATTCCATTGATTACAGAAGCTAACTTCCACGCAAGATTATGAGCGTCCTGAATACCGGTATTCATTCCTTAAAAAAGCAACAGAGGGTATTTTAAGCATCTATTTGTATTTAGCAATTTTTTATTTCCTATTTTGACTGGCATGATAAGCTTTACGCTAAATGGGAAGGAAAGACCAAGCCCTCTCTACCATTAGTACGGCCAGGATTGATTTCTTGTGGCCTTGAGAGAGTATTTTGTAGCATTTATTTTGCTTGTGGTCTCTGTTTGTAAAAGCTACATATGTGAATTTTACTCAACAATATTGTCAAATAATACAAGCTATGGCTGATGAAGATGTCACCATAGATCCACTGTTTATTCAGAGTAACAAGTTTGTTAAACTCAACTGTAGAGTCCATTAATTGATGAACATAAACATGAATGCAACCACCATAATTTCACAAAAGATATAATAAAGTGGGGACTTAGATTCTGCAGCATAATAGATGCCCCAAATTATAATCTAAACAGAAACCTTGCTTCTTTTTTTTTAATTTTAATTAAAACCATACTTTAGCTGACTATTTTTCAAGTTTGATTATGAAGGCATAAAAAATCTTTCTTTTAGATGCGCAAAGCCATTTACTAGAATTCTTCTCCAGTCCAATTCTATTCAATTTCCTCCAGAATTAATAAAGCCAAACTCCAATTAATCCCGCACTGATAAAGATTACATTTACATCAATTTCCTTCTTTCATTCTTCTGTTACATGAAACCTTAAAACTCGTATTAACACGGTTTGAATAAACAGGTGAGAGAATTAGTGATAAATCCAGCTATGGTGGAGATTATTTACCCCCAAAAAAAAAATTACCGACTGAAATATTACATACCAAAACCACCAGCAGGAGGAAAACGATGAGCAGCATCACCAGCAAGTATTATCCTGTTGTTGTAGGATAAAAATCTTTCAGCAACTTCAGCATGCATTACCCAAGGCTTTACATCCATCACATCTATGTCTGCAAGCTCTCGGCCAACCAATTTGAAGATTAATATCTCACACATCTACAACAATGCAATTACTTCAAAAGAACAATCATGAAGATGGCAATTGCCGGTTCTAACATTTACCTAGAGTTTCCAAAGCAGTCATCTAGCAAAACGTTTTAAGCTTAGAAATTGGTCAAAATTAATTAGCCTCCATTTGGTTTAAATCAAAAAGTAAGATAAAAATCTAAGTCAAAGTCAACAATTTATTTTAGCTACATGTTTCATGGAATTCATAACTTTTCAACCACACATTCCATCGACTTTTATTAAGATCTACAAAAGTTTGATTATTATCTAAACGAAACTAGGGCTTAATTTTAACCACACATTTCATATGACCCGCAACTCTTATCACCTTTTCAACTACATATTTCATCAATCTTTATCAAAATATAATTAAAATCTGATTTTTAGCAAAACCAAACATGGGGTTAATTATTTCCAACGTTGACATATATGAAATTATTTATTTTAAAAATTACTATTTAGTTCTGACAATTTTTTAAGCTCGGCCAAACATGCTCTGATTACCTTTCAGCATCTCAACTTAAGGTACTCACCAGTGACATTTGACATCATCAGAAAATTTTAGTTTTCTCACTTGCAAGAACAAAAATACCTTGAAGCTGAAATCTTCAAACTTTTGTTGAGGCGGATAAAAAGGCACCTGCAGAACATCAATGAAAACTCAATTTATTAAGTTTCCAGTACAAAAGTTGAAACCATAGAATTTACGTGCATTATAAAACAGACCAAAACATAAATATCGTGTTTTCTATGTATATTGAACAGTGCTTGACTACTAAGAAATGAAACAAAGACAATCTTGTATTTTGTATATCCAATCCTATTTAATACTGCGTATCAAACATATCCAAACAAAACTCATACTACCTGCAACACAAACTCCCCTTGCTTCAGATCATGAGCGACTAGAACACCGATTGCTTCAGTATTGAAGATAAAAAACAGCATGCCCGGTCTGTCATTGATCAGATACTGCCCGAGGTCTTGGCTCATAAAATGGATACTGATGAGTTTTTGCAAGTTCTTCTCACCACTCATGTCTATTGACATGAGCTTTCTAACAGTACTTCCTGCACCATCAGTACCAATAAGGAAATCACAACGGAAATTTTTCTCCATATGCTTTCCTTCCCTAAGAAAAGATGTAGTCACGGTTACACCATGATCAGTTGTTTTGATAGATGTGCACTCATGCCCCAGTAATACCTCACGCTCTGCAAGCCCGACATCATCTGGCCTCAACTCTTCACTTGTAATTTGAAACCCTATGTTCTCGAGCTGTTTAATTAGCAATCTGATAAGTTTGTACTGTGAGAAATGTGCAACAGAAACAGGACTCACAATTCGGTCAAAATCTGCACAAAACAAAAGTCTCTACATTTAAAAAGAATAGCAAGCTACAGGTAGACATGTCTTGCAAGGTTTTTGGGCTCTAATAGTTTGTATTCCATGAACGAATGCAAAAAAACAGAGAAGGATGAGCAGTTTTCTCACCTTTGTGAAATTCAAGTGGAAAAATGGGGAAGAACAGAAATGACTGAAGAACGGTATGTGGTATCTTTGTAATTTCTTCCCCGTGTTTTAACACTTGACAATCAATCTATAAAATTGTAATTCTTTCCATATAGATTATTTGCAATAAATCCTACCTTGAGGTTGCATATGATTGACTGAACCAAGAATAGGACCCGTGAGTGAAGTGCAGTATATGAACTTCCTCCAAAATTCCACTGGAGGTTGGGACCTCATAATCTCATCAGCCAAGCCATTTATTTTTCGGAACACCTAACAAGAATAATCTACATCAAAACGAAAACTTCACTTCACTTAATTAACGCCTCAATCTAGCAAAACCTCACTAGAAGAAAGAGTGAAAACAACCTCCATTGACCGATTGTTAATGAAATGAGCTTGAGGGTGTTTTGAAAAGGTCTTGTTTTTCTCTAAAACTGCACATTTTACACCTGAGAAACACCATTATTCATAGAAAATGTTAGCATATTTCAATTTTTCAATTACAAATTTAGCATTATTTCATCATTTAATGAAATTTCAGGTCAGTTTCAACCAAAAGTAACTATTATTTTGCAAAGCTGCAGACTTGACCCATCAGAAACAATTTATAGCAGGAAATTAGTATTATATCCATTTTCAATCAAAATCCTTGTATCAAGTTAGGCTATAATATATGAAATTTGAATCATGAAATTGAAATTGAAATTAGTAAAAAATTCTATTATTGAACCTCAATAAAACCGAAAACATTACCGAGTTTAGTGAGAAGAATGGAGAGGACGAGTCCAACAGGGCCTGCGCCTACGATCAAGACTGGCAAAACCGAGTCCCCGCCATTGATTTTGCTCATCGAACCTGACAAAAATCTTCTTTGGATGCATGGGATTGCACGGTTCATAGTTCTACCGTTGTAGGCTCCGTGGAAACTCCTTGAGGCCCCCATTACACAAATGCAAACACAGAGAGATCCTGACAGGTTCAACTAACGTTCAAGGTTTTCACAGAACAGAATATAAGCTTTTTCAATTAGGTTGCGATCAGAAGAAAATGAACAGATTCAAAGTGGAGAAATTATACAGTGAATGCTTGGCTCACTTGTGCCCACGCCCCCACAAAGTCCCGGCCATGTACCAGACCTAAAAGTTTCTTTAATTTTTCAATTTGAAACAATGATATTATACAAGGGTTATATTGGCATTACAATTTTTATTTGTTACTTTTAATTGTAATTAAACTCCTCAATTTTTGCTCATTTTAGTAGTTATTTCTTTAATTTTTCTCATCGAATTCTCATATTCAATATATCGTCCTTGATGATGATTTGTATCAAAATAGATTCTTTTCGATCTTTAAAACGAGGGGAAATTATTTTTTGTACGCCACAATTTTTATTTACTAGCCAGATTTTAATTGTAATTAAACTCATCAATTTTTGCTCAGTTATTTCCTTAATTTTTTCATCGAATTCTTATATTCAACTTTTCATTATTTAGTACATATCGTTGTTGATGATGATTCATATCAAAATAGATTCTTTTCAATATTTAAAATGAGGGGAATTTTTTTTTTTTTTGTACGCCACAATTTTTATTTGTTAGCCACCTTTTAATTGTAGTTAAACCCCTCAATTTTTGCTCGTTACAGTAGTTATTTCCTTAATTTTTTCGTCCTTTTTAATCTTTAAAATTACAGGGAATTTTTTTTTTTTTTGTACTTTTTTATTTATTTTCTAAAATATGATGGAAAATAAGTTGTTATATGCTATTTCAATAGACTTTTTGGACATAAATTGTTTTCAAATACAAAATGTGTCGAATAACTAAAAGTTTGAGGATAAGAATGCCATGAAAAAATCGTTATGGACATTAATGCTATAATGAGTAAGGATTGAAAATCGTAAGTGTAATTAAAATGTGGTGCAAAAAGTAATGTGTTCAAATTTCGTTCCTATTCCTAAATTGGCCACCTGAACCTAAAAAGCACCATGCCATCTCAACCCCTTTCACCATCTAAAATCACATCCACCACCATCTAAAACCACTCACACCATTGTTGTGAGTCGTGTGCGTTAATTTTTTTAGAATTGTGACCATGACTCACCATCATAATTGCGTTTAAATAAATATAGTGGCGGACGCAAACATTTTCAATTAGGGGGCACAATTTAATCACCAAGGGCTGTGGGAGAAACTTGATAATTTACCGACTAGTTGACCCATGACCAAACTAAGATCTATTGGCCAAAAAAATAAATAAATAAAAAATCAAAGAAATTACCATTTGAGAAGGTTCCTGACCTATATGTGACATTATATACATCTAAGGGTCCGTTTGATAGGTAAAGGTAGAAATGAATTTCAATTCTATATTAGTTAAAAAATAAAAATACACCAAATCCATAGGAATTCGTTTTCCATGGAAAAAAATGCAGCATAAAGTGGTTGTACCTTGGAATTCGATTTCCATTTCCATGTTGCAATCAAACTGTTAAAGTGGAATTCGTTTTCTTCGGATGTGACCTTTTTCATGGAATTCGTTGCAATTAAACATAGCTTAATTGACTTTTGAACTCGGATAATAATTTTTTGGATTAACTTCTTCAATTATATCATCTCTCCATAACCAGAAATTAAGTCTCCATCATTTTTATACTGTGTATGTATGTAAAATAGCTTTTGATGTATCTATTTGTGTATGCTATTATCTAGGAAGGTGCAATTCAATTAACTAAAAGGAAAAACAATTGGGCCTCTTACTGTAACCACCAATCATATGCATCTCAGAAAGGCATTCCAACCCCTTCTCACTCTCCCCGCTGTGCACATACCCAATGATAAGCATCAGGGCCGGCCCTGAGGCGAGGCGAGTGAGGCCGCCGCCTCAGGCCCAAGCGAGGAGGGGGCCAATTCTTGGCCCAAATTTTTTTTTTTTTTTTTTTT